AGTCTTAAAAACCTTAGAGTCCTTTTGTTAACCTTACGTGTATGTGTTGTTGTACTTGTTTTTTACGTCTCATTTTATACCTTTTACTTATTTATTATTGTTTAACTCTGTTGTTTTTAAAATGAATAAATATGATTTGATCGTCACCTGTTTTCCCTCTGCTGTGTCGAAGCCGAGGAGTTGCAGCTCGCAGTCGGCCTCTAGAGGTTTTCCAAGCTCCCACAGCTCACCGTTCACCTTGCTCACTAACGCTCCTTTCACTCTGTCGGAACAGATAAAATGTATATGTAGTTACACCACTTTACACCAAAAAAGAAAAAAAAAACCCAAACAAATAAACAATTCGGTTGTGCTGGTTACCTGATGTTCTGGGCAACAGAGAGCGGCGTGGTCACGCCAGCTCTGCCTTTGACGGTCTGTCTGTCAGACAGACGGATGCAGAGCGACTTCTCAGAAGCTTCAATTCGCTGCTCGCTGTGGCGTTTCTCCCTCAAAGACTCAAAGATCTGCAGTCGCTCTGACAGCTCCGGAGACAACTGTAATCAGACGGAGAGATGAAACACAACATCAAACGGAAGAAAGGAGTAAAAACAAAAATGAAGAAAAAGAAACAAAGAGGACAGGGCTCCAGAGACGCTCACTGAAGAATAAGCTGATGTTTCAATCACTCATCATTATGTGAAGCACTTAGACATTTTTGATGAATTTTGTTGAATGTTATTTACAATTTGATAGAACATAACAGTGCTGTTTCGTTTTTTCTGGTTTCATGTGATGCTTCTAAAAACCACATCTCATTTACAATTTGATAGAACGTCAGAGCTGTTATTTTTTTTCTGGCTTCATGTGATGCTTCAAAAAAGTTGCACTGATGAGTTAGTGTGTTAGTATGGATTTAAAAGTTGAAATTGTAGACAAAAGTAAGTCTGTATAAGACTGGAGCCCTGGAGCAGGAGCACAACAGAGGAATAGGGCAAATGCTTTGTTTTTATATACCTCATTAAATCAATGTTAAGTTTGAGGGAAAGTACTGTAATAGATGGGGATGATACAAGGGTGAGTCAAAAAGTTCTAAGATAGAGGTTATAAGGGCAGGTCTTCATCATTATAAACTGTGTGCTGAGCTTTTTTTAAATGCGAGTAAAAATAATAGTCATAATAATCCTGGAGGGGAAGTTTAAATACGTAAAAATGTAGGAAACTCCAGGAAGAGAGTGCAGAACAGGTGACTGTGCTCATGTCAAACACTGTAGCTGAGTATTTAAAGGAGAAATTTCTTATTGATTTTATTCTGGATCCTGTTTAAAAGGTGGGGGAGACGGGGGTGTTTGTGAGCGGCACGAGTGCTAAGAGTGCTTTCCAGATATTTAATTCACAGTCTCTCTCTCTCTCTCTCACTCACACACACATGTATCCATGCAGTTCTGCAGTGTTTTCCAACAGACAACTTTTTCTGATAATCATTCTGTCCTGATGAGTAAGATGTGTTTTGATCTATTTGGTCTGACTCTCTTTATGCAAACATAGATGCTGAAAAAGGAGGAACACAGCATATGTGGCCAAATCCTCAGAAGTGACAACAGGCACAAAGTACAGTATAAGGTTCATGCTTGTTGATGACCAACAAAAACAGAACAAAATTTAAGTAATTGTTCTCTTTTTAGTGTAATTTCTAGAAAAAATATGTATATTTTACATATAAAATGCCACGTTTAATTGTAATTTAGAAGGTATTTAAGGTAAAAAAAATATTTAAGATAAAGCTATGAAATGAAAAATATTTAACTGATGTTGTTAATTTAAAAAATATATATTTGAATTGTCAGATCAAGCCCTTCACAAGTGAAATGTAAGTTTTGTTTCAAAGAATAAAATTCAACTGTAAAAGCAGCTGTAAACACACACGTAAACTATTTTACGTAAACTACAAGTATTACTAGTTCAGGCTAGAAGAACTGGTCCCGACAAGATTGTTACAGCAGCTGAAGAAACACACACTCCCACACACACAAGTGTTGAGCAACATTAGCAGTAGCTACCGTTCTACTGTAACAAGTAAAGCGCGCACCTGACTGTATCGCCGCTCACAGCGAAGAGTCGAACGAACGGCCGGTCGACAGGCGACCAGCCTCAACAGTCGCGGCACCATCCCTCAACACACACACATACACCGCTGTCTAAACATACGCGCTCAACACACAGACATACACATACACCGCTGTCTAAACATACGCCTTCACTTTCCATATATCACACAATTACTGTCCTTTCTGTGCGGGCGGCCATTGTACCGGAAGCACGACAAAAAAAAAAAAAAAAAAAAAAAAAAAAAGACAGAAAAGAGCCGGTGACGTCCAGGACGTAAACCCGTGACGCTAGCTTGCGCGCTCGTGCGCGTCAACACAGAGCGCGCCCCCGCAAGAGCTAGAGCTGCGCATGTCTGTGGCGGTTAAACAGGGAATACATAAGTCACAGCGAGATGCAGAACACGGGCGGGACGTTCACAGTCACAGTGAGAAAGAATAGAGGAAAAATAAACAGTTTGAGAGAAACAACGCAGCCTTCGGGGAATCTGCGTCATCATCGTCACTAGCTCCTCCATCGGAGCAGATAAGAACAGCAACTGCATCTCAGTGACCCCCCCCCCTCTCCCCCCAATGATGTGCACTGCATCCCAAAGTTACTGTAAACAAACAGGCGGTCGGGACTCATCGGTGGAGCGTCTCTACTGCAGCAGTAGGAGCCGCTGCTTTCCCGATGTTTACACGTGGGTTTATCGACACAACCTCAGCTAACACAAGTTTAGCCTCGATCACAGCCTCCAGCCCCCCCACCCCGCCCCCCTTTTCCATTTTAATCGACAACCACCATGGACCTAAATGTTAAATTATTCATACATTGTTCCTAAAAAGTGGATTTTTTTTTTTACCAGAATCTTTAAATTCAACTATATGATCTGTGTCATCCTCAGCTCTCTCTATAGTAGCCATTTGTGACCGGATCATTTTCTTTGGGAGACAACAGTTGTACAAGTCCATGTGGAGACTGGACGTATCAACGCCTCACTCAGTTGAAGTTCCCACTGAATGCCACTTGGGGGAGCTACAAGACTTATTAAAACGGTGAACACGGTGATAGTATAGAGATACTGTAATACAGATAAAACTCCACAATTATGCACCCTTACAGATTGAGAGACTTTACTCTCGACAAAATTGAAATATTTTTCTGTAGTTCGGTGCAATAAAATGGTGGACTTAACTTTTTAAAAGCTAGATGATAAAAAGTGCATAAATATAAATGTGATCTTTATAAGATAGTGTTCCTAAATTTTGAATAAGAGTGAATAAAGTTTCCCTGCAATAAGTTTGACTGAATGCCAATAATCTTTTATATTAATCTAAACTAAATGGGGGTCAAATGTACATTTTGTTATGTAGGGTTTATATGTTATGCCCAAAATCTGACATTGCACCAGAGTACACCAAACATTCAGTGAGGTATATAAAAAAAAATAGCTGCTTCTCTTCAGTTGTCGAGAGCTCTGTGTTGGTCAAAGGAAAAATAAATATGAAAAACAAAACAAAACAAAAAAACAACAACGTAAGATTAAGACTGATGGTGTCTGTCTAATGGTGCAACAAAAACACACCCTAAAAACTCCTGGACACATATATATATACATATATATGACCTGATAAATGTGTGTGCTATATACAAATATATATGACCTGATAAATGTGTGTGCATATTGTCCGTGTTTCAAACAAACTGCTGCAGAATGTGTGCGTTACACCAGAAAGGATTGGACACTCACAGACCAGTGATAGAGCATCATTAATGAAAACAGCAGTCAAAGCAATTAAACGTCGTCAAATATACACAGGTACACATCTTCAGTCAGTTCAAACAGATTATTTACAGGGGAAAGTGAGCGTGTTGAACCAGAGGGGCGGGGGCCTTTCAGGTGAGCATGAATGCACAAGTAACTCTTTTGCGAACACGACGTTTTGAGTTTGGTTTAACTCATCCGTTAGCCGTTGCAGAAATGACATGTTGCACATATTACAGAGTGGTAACAGACCGGTAACAGACTGGTGTGACATTGACTAAGACTGGGACGTGATTAGCTTTACGTCTTCACAATGCATCTTCAACACATTTAATGACAAGCAGATCTCTGGTTTTTTTGGTGAAACTACAGTTGGAAAGATGCAGGATGTGAGGCGTCAACAGTCAACACTCCACCTTCACCTACTGTATGAAGGTCAACGTTAAAGCAAACTAATGCTGGACTGAAGGACTGCTGCTACAGTGGCCGACTAATGGGTGACAGATGCACAGGTTGTTGTTTTTTTTTTTCCAATGAAGCCAGTGAGCGTAAGAGCTTTTAAGGAAGAGTGGGGGCAAAAAGCATGAAAAAAACAAATAAAAATAAAACAGAGAAAGGCGTCGGAATTTAAATGTACAGTTTCCAAACAATTGTAATTTCCTTAATTCATCGCGAGTTCCTTTATAATAAGAATAAGAAAATGGCCGGACCATTAAGTTATAAACACACACACACACAAAAAAAAAGCTTATTTGTTGAAGCGTGATGCAAACGGCAGCAGGCGTAAAAAAGGTAAATGAAATCCAACGACGCAGTTTTATCGAAGCGGCGCACCTCAGGTGACAGGTACCAAATAAAATACCCCCCACCCTCAGGTGACGTGAAACTGTGGACTTTATTTAAGTCAGTACACACTGAACCCTGGGTGTGTGGTTCCAAACTGAAAGCCCCCCCCCCATCTAATGAAAGGGTCTCAAACTCCCGGCCCATGGGCCACTTTTGGACCGTGAACCACCCACGTCCAGCTCACAACTAGGTGTCAGTAATAATGTAATCTGACCCTTTGCTGTCAGTTTATTTTTTCATGACAGGTGTAACAGTGCCCCCCGCCCCCCAGCTCATTTGAGTTTGAGACCCCTCCTCTAATGAGTATCTTTGCGACTACAGACTAACTTCTAACCAGCAGAGGGCATCTCTTCTTCTGCGGTTTGGTACTTTCAAAGGAGCGAAGATGAAAAGTTGCAGACACAGACAGTGCAGAGAAACTCTTCCGCAGCTATAGCTTATCCACGGCCTCACGGGTCACGGTAACGACGAGGCGAATGTGTGCACGTGTACGTTGTCCTGTCGTTTACCAGAAACAAGATGTTGAAGAGGAAACACTGTGTTATCTCATGGTTTTATATTTACAGGGCAGGAAATACACAGGAGGAAAAGAACGATGAACGCTTTTTTTAGCAAAAAACAAAAGTGAACGTTCGTCTCAGCTGCAACAGAAATCATGCTACCTCTGATGAGTATAACCTGGTGAGAATTAACTTTTTGAGACACACAGAAACACTATTCAAGCACGCGCACACACACACACAAACACACACAGGCACTTACTCCTAAGGAACAAGGTTTGTGGAAGAAAAAAAAACTTCTGGAACATTGAACATATTTTCTCAAACCCTACTTTTATCTTTCCACATACACCTATATTTACCAAAAAAAAAAAAAAAATCAGATCGACTGTTAGCCTGTTTTCAACCCTGTGCAGTGTTTGACTAGACTATTTCCAGTTCTGTGCAGTGAGTTGACCAACCACTGCAGCTCCAACACTCTTGTCACGTAACTGTAACTAATATAATCAATCGGCTAATTTTAATCAAACTGTTAATTTTTCACATTCTGTATTTGACATGAGCCGCACCACTGTTGTCCTGCTCTCTCTCTCTCTCTCTCTCTCTCTGTCTTCACTCTAACGTAGAGCAATTAAAACAATCAGAGTCTAAATTCAGCGTGAACTAATGGTTTTGCTGCTAGGACTACGTCACTTCTGAACCAGAGCTAATAAATGTTGTTTCCTATTGTTTGAACTTATGATTATGGGAAATCTAGTGGGAGGAGGAGGGAGGTGGGGGGTCGGAGGGTGAGTGGGTGGACAGAGCTGTTACATAAAGAGGCTTTTCTGTACAGTTTGGAGAACACCGGCTTCTTAACTACGTGAAGCGCGTTGCGTTTTAATCAGCTATTTACACAGGACTCTGCCTCGTTTTAAGTCATGCTTTAAACAATGTAAAGATATCTGGGCTCATACCAGCGGGGGCTAACACACACACACAGAGACACTGCGCTAGGAGATGTGTGGCTTTTTCACTCAATCATCTTGTCGTAGAGGACCACTTCAGTAGCGCGGGGGTTGAAAGGGTCTCTTCTGCCCGTGATGAGAGGGAGCGCCTGCGAAGGGAGCGCCAGACCGCTTTCCTCCTCGGAACCCTCCTCTGGAGAAATCCCTGTTGTGGTGGTGAGAGTGGACTCTCCCTCGCTGCTGTGAAGAGACCGGGGAGGAAAGGATCGGGGGTCGAGGGGTGGGCAAGGACAGGAGGGGAACAGGGGCAGGGTGGTTGCCGGGTGCATTTGGAGGACTGCGTGAGGGTTTCTGGTGGGCCTGGGAAGACAATCGACCTGGTGCAGCCTCAACGGCGGGGGGATTGGGGGGGGGAGGGGGGGGGTTTGGGGGGGGGGGGGGGGGGGGGGGGCGCGTTGCGTTTTAATCAGCTATTTACACAGGACTCTGCCTCGTTTTAAGTCATGCTTTAAACAATGTAAAGATATCTGGGCTCATACCAGCGGGGGCTAACACACACACACAGAGACACTGCGCTAGGAGATGTGTGGCTTTTTCACTCAATCATCTTGTCGTAGAGGACCACTTCAGTAGCGCGGGGGTTGAAAGGGTCTCTTCTGCCCGTGATGAGAGGGAGCGCCTGCGAAGGGAGCGCCAGACCGCTTTCCTCCTCGGAACCCTCCTCTGGAGAAATCCCTGTTGTGGTGGTGAGAGTGGACTCTCCCGCGCTGCTGTGAAGAGACCGGGGAGGAAAGGATCGGGGGTCGAGGGGTGGGCAAGGACAGGAGGGGAACAGGGGCAGGGTGGTTGCCGGGTGCATTTGGAGGACTGCGTGAGGGTTTCTGGAGGGCCTGGGAAGACAATCGACCTGGTGCAGCCTCAACGGCGGGGGAATTGGGGGTGGAAGGTGAGGTGTTTGTGGGAGAGGGTGAGGGTGGTGGAATTGGCAGCTTCAGAGAATCTTTCACTCGGCCAAGTAAAGGTGGAGGAACACCTCCGGTGCCGGGGCGGTGGAACGGCGGCGCCTGCCGTTGGTGAAAGGGCTCTTTAACTGTGCCAGGACGAGGAGGCCTCGGGGGGTCGCCCAGCAATGATGTCATGAGAGGCAGAGGGGCCGCTTTATTACCCCTGTGCCCCATTCTACCTCGGTCTTCAGGTCTGGGTGCATGAGGAAGGGCGAGAGGACGGTCGACGGGGACCAACACTCCCCCCACCATGACCGCAGTGGGCACTGCAGGGTGAGTCGAGGAAGGGTGCTGTGGAATGGGGGGTGGAGGGGGGAGAGGTATTAGTGGTGGGCTGCCCAGGAATGGAGAGGAAGAAAGAGGATGCTGGTGATGGAGTGATGACGGATGACCGGGTGGAGGTGGGGGAGGAGGAGGGATATCCATGTGATACGATAGCTGGAAAAGAGCTGATGGAGGAAGGTGAGAGTGTGGAGGATGGTGGAGGTGAGTGAGGAGCTGCTGTGGGTGAGGAGGCGGCATGGAGGGAGTCATGTCCTCTGAGCCAATGTTAAGAAGGGGTGGGGCGTTGTGGGCAGACGGGGTGTCCATGTACTCCTCTTCCTCATACCACATGGCCGCGCCTGGGCGACTCCCGCCCCCGCCTCCTCGCCGGGACCCTCGGCCTATGACGCGGATGCTCTCAACTGTCTTAATGGGCTCCCCAGTGAGAGGACGATTGGAGGAGCTGAGAGTCTGGATGGGGGCTCCTTCGGTACAAGGGGAGACAAGGGTTTCTATGCGGTGGTACTGACCCTCTTTTTTATTAGGCTCTTGACCTTTGCCCTTGTCGTCTCTTTTCCCACTCAGACTTCCATCATCTGAGCTGATGCTCGCCTTGCGAGAGCTTTCAGAGGGTCTCCTTTCTCCCATCGTTCTGCCAAGTAGCCTAGCCTGACTGGACTGCCCGTCTTTCTTACCCTTCATGTCCCTACGTGTGGGAGAGGAGAGTGGCCTCTTAACACTCATCAGGTCGTCATCCCTTAATTTCTTCCCAGCTCCATGCCGGGAAGCGGAGGAACCCAGGAACTCCCCGTCACCGTTGCCTCCTGATGGAGTGATCACAGCATCCCAGAGCTCATTGCGGTAAGCTGTGGGAGAGAGTTTGTGACCTCCAGAAGACCCCAGGGACTCGGCGATACTCCCAGGTGTGTCCATCATCTCATCTTGGGTCGGGGTTCCGGCCGTCTCATCTCTGACTGGTGTACCGTCCACGGCCTCAGGACTGACATCACCTAGAGCAAGACTAAAAGCAGGATTACCCTGCAAAAAACTATTGATTTTTGACTCTAAGCTAGGAGGAGAGGCGGAGGACGCGGAGGAACGGGGAGGCGGCGGTGGAGGAGACAAATGTTTCTCTTTCTCCCAGTCTTTGGTTCTTCCGGAAGTCTCACGTTTCAGGCTGTTTGCTAGACTGGGTTTTGTCTTTGAACTGGTTGGGGTGACGGGGGTTTTTGATGTTAGCGACTCTGGGGAGGTTCGCGTCGTGGGGGCAGAACCACTGTTTGTCACGTTTTGCAGAAGAGAAGACAAACCTGTGCCAAGGATAAGAGAGACGGAAAAGAGAGGTAGGTAATGACGCGGGAGACAAATGAAATGAAATGTTAATCACAGAGTTTGTCATTAAAATGCATTTTCAATTCAATTAGATATTTGTGAATTACCTTGTGTGTTTGTCTTAGACAGAGCACTGAGTATGCCTTCAGGTGTGATGTCAACACGGGACAGGATGCTGGCCAGGGCAGGGCTTTGAGGGGTGACCTTGGACGCCAGTGATTGACCCGAGGGTGTGGTGGGAGTCCCTGGAGATGGCCGGGGTGACGGACTAGCTGCTAAGGTGAAGAAGGGGGCGGTTTTAGAAGATCATCTGTTTGTTGTCATTCTAGTAAATACTAGTCATGCTAATTAACAAACTCAAACCCACCGGTGTTCTTCATTGCAGATGTGAGGGAGCTGAGGATGGAGCTGATCTTTCCCAAATCCACCTTTGCCAGATTGACTCCCATCACGGCCGAGGAAACGTTCTGGGCGGAGGCGGAGGTGGGGGTCGCTGGAGCAGCAGCGGAACTGGAGTTCGTCTTGGCTGCTTTGGCAGGAGTAGTCAGGGGCTTTGATGCTGCATCTGACTTTGTAGCCTTGGTGACAGCGGTAGAGGCGTTGTCCTTCTCAACTCCTGGTAAAGAAATCATTCAAATAAACTTATTTTTAAACTGAGAACTGAAGAAACTTTTTTTATGTCATCTAAAGATA